GTAGTCTTGCAGAGGTGTTCTCCGGAGCTTTCATCCATACTTTCTAAACTATTTAACAAGTGCTTATCAGAGTCTTGTTTTCCATCATGCTGGAAAGCAGCATCTGTTATCCCTATTTTCAAAAATTCCGGAGAGCGATCTGATTCATCTAACTACCGTCCCATTAGTCTTCTTCCTGTCATAAGCAAGGTTTTTGAATCTTTAATCAACAAACACTTAATCTCTCATCTTGAATCAAATAACTTACTTTCTGATCATCAATATGGATTTCGGTCTTCTCGTTCTACAGCTGATGTGCTAACAGTAATAACCGATAGGTTTTACCGTGCATTAGATAGAGGTGGAGAGGTTAAGGCTATCGCACTTGACATTTCTAAAGCTTTTGATAAAGTTTGGCATGCTGGTCTTCTCCATAAGCTTTCTTCTTATGGTGTAGCTGGTAACGTCTTTAAGATTATTGAGTCCTTTCTTTCCAATCGTAGTATAAAAGTTGTCCTCGATGGACAACACTCTTCTTCACATCCTGTAACTTCAGGGGTTCCTCAAGGTTCAATCCTTGGCCCTATACTCTTTTTAATTTACATTAACGATCTTCCAGATATTCTCACATCTAAGGTGGCATTATTCGCTGACGACACTACCATTTACTCTTGTCATGATAAGAAGCCTACACTCTCTGATTGCTTGGAGGGGGTATCTGAGCTTGAAAAGGATCTCACTTCTGCTACAGCATGGGGCTCACAGTGGCTGGTGAACTTTAATTCAGATAAAACTCAGTTTTATTCGGCCAATCGTTATCGTAATAATTTAGATCTTCCTATATTTATGAATGGTAATGTACTAGATGAGTCATCTACCATTCATCTTCTAGGATTAACTCTTACTTCTGATATTTCTTTTAAACCGTATATCAAATCCATTGCAAAATTAGCATCTGCTAAGGTTGCATCTCTTTATCGAGCTCGACACTTTCTTACTCCAGATTCTATTCTCTATCTCTATAAATCTCAAATCCGTCCCTGTATGGAATACTGTTGCCACATCTGGGGCGGATCTTGTAATGATGCTCTTTCTCTTTTAGACAAGGTGCAAAAACGAATTGTAAACATAGTTGGACCTGCTCTGGCAGCCAATCTCCAACCTTTGTCACATCGTCGTAATGTTGCTTCTCTTTCTCTTTTCTACAAATACTATAATGGGCACTGCTCTAAAGAGCTAGCGTCCCTTGTGCCATCTACTAAAATTCATTCTCGTGTTACTCGCCATTCAATTAAGTCTCATCCTTTTTCTGTGACTGTTCCTAAGTGCTTCAAAAACTCTTATTCTTCTAGTTTTTTTCCTCGAACATCAGTTCTTTGGAATTCGCTTCCTTCATCTTGCTTTCCTGATTCATATAATTTGCAATCTTTTAAGTCATTAGTCAATCGTTATCTTGCTCTACAGATTTAGTCTTTTCTTTTCCAGTAACTTCCAACTCTTATAGTGGTTGCTTGCAGCCTTGTTGGAAGTGAAGTTGTTAAAAAAAAAAAAAAGATATAATGTAGGCTGTTAGTTAAAATAATTTTTAAACTGGCATTTAATAATGTGTAATAAAATAATAGTAATAAAAAGTATGTGTAAACAACAATTTCCACAGGCGATATTGTTAAACATTAAATATTTTAAATTTATAAAAAAGTATAACTATCTGGTATTTCTTTCAAATCCTTAATACACTGGTCTTAATATCCTTAGGGTGGGTGGGAAAATTTTCCAAAAATTATTAAACATCCCTCCTTCCCCATTCTTGTATTAAAGACTCGATAGTACTCGAAATAATCTTCCTCTATTTGCTTTGCTAAGCAAGGCTTTTTTTCTTGGAGGAAAAATCTCTTGCTTTTATTACAGCGGACGCAATTTGTTCTGTTCCAACTTGATCTTCTTGACCAAATCATGCAAGTTTTAGCGTCTTGTTGCAATTGTACTATTAAACGGAGGGGGTGGGGAGGGGTTAATAAAAGGAAATTGATATACTGAGATATTTAATTTATCAGATTTCTATTTTTAGCAGATAAATGATTTGTGGTACAGCCATAAATACAACACTTTTTACCCATATTTCAATATCGCTAAAATGGCGATTATAGTTAAGTATGGTTTAAAATACGCCCCCAGCCCCCAGTGAAATACGTTTTTTGCGCGTTGGCAAGGCCTGCAGTATAGATCGCCGTGATAGATTTTTATTTTCAAACCGAATTTAGATGAATTAACCGATTATCTAGTCTGTGTTTTTAACATCGATTTTTTACACTACGAATTTTTTTTTAATTAATAATCAATAAGTTTTCCAAGCATTCATCGAACCTTATACCTCCCGATTCTAAAGACCGCGCTTCAATCACTGCGCCAAGTCTAATAAAATTTGGCTCCTATTCAAATCTACAAAAAAAAAATACAAAATACTTACAGAAAAAGCTATAAATATTAGTTATAAATAGTTATATTCAAGTACATCAAAATACAGTAGATCAACAATTTAGTAGGTTGGAAAATTTACTAATTTTCCAACCTACTAAATCGTTGACCTACTGTATTTTGTTTTAATTAGGTGTACATGTTTTAATTAGGTGTAAATATAAAAAGCAAAAATTGTGGGTTGAAAATCAAAAACGTCATCATCTACGCTTTACGAAATTTCAAAATTAAGTTGAGTTATAGGACACCGTTTTTACAAAACATGCATAAAACTATTTAATTCTATTTTTGCTTGCGGTCAAATGCACATTTTCTAACAGCTGTTTTATCATAATTTCAATAGGATTTAATATGCTGATATAATTTTTATATTTTGGTGAGAGATAAACAAAACCTTTTTGACAAATCGAAATTTACTTGAAATTTTTAAAGCCTTTTTACACTAAAAGTTTTTGCTTTTATCTGAGACTGAAATAATTTTTAATTTTTAATGCCGTTTTTCACTGAAATTTTTTTAAGTTTTGAGATAAAAATTTTTTGTTAATAACAAGTAAAAGTTAATAAAGGGAGGAGGGTAGGAAGGGGTCTTAATTAGCTTAGGGTGGGTGGGAAAATTTTCCGAAAATTAATAAACGTCCCTACTATTCTACAAAAATTATTTTTTTTTTAAGAAAAAAATAAAAAACGCTATTCTAAAGTAGATCAATATTTATTAAACAAAAAAAAAGTTCCATCATTTTACCACCACTATTAAGTAGCCTTCTAATCTGTAGTGGCCCTCTCGGCCTTAAGGAGGAGGATAACAAAAAAAAACAAACTATTTTGTGTGTTTTAGAGTAATGACTATGTAATGACTTGAACTCCCTCCAATTGAGGATGTTAAAAATTTTACTTGGTCACCGTTTCTAAATACCAGCAGTTTTGTTGATGAAGTTTGAAATATATAAAAGAGCTTGGTCTACTATAAAATAACGTAGTTTTTTTGCCAAAATAATGTTTGATTTCATCATGAAGATACAAATGTTTTGAGTTTATACTACTTGAAAATTAATCATTTCGAATACAAAAATCCCAAATATACCTTTGAAAATGCAAAAATCCGGCTCGGACACAATTAAAAGATTTTAAAAACACCTCTAATTGTACTCATAAGGTATATTTAATGCTTCCATAGAAGGATTTTTTTGGTACTTTCAGATGAGGTTGATCTTGAATTTGACAGGGTGTGGAGCTTTAGTTTTAGTTCTGAGGGTTCTATTTCTTTTTAGAAAAATTTCAGGTTTTTATTTCAAAAGACAATGGCAATGACCATAAAAATGACAATAAAAGATAATTTATTATCAATTTTATGGTCTTCTTTATAAAAATGTATTGCCATCAAAATTTAAAGATTTTTTACTATTATTTTGCTTACGAAAGTTACCAATCAAATACTTCAAGATCTTTCAAATAGTAAACATAATATTAGTGAAAACACCTATTAGTGAAAATTCGATACTCAAATATATATTAACACAAAGAGCAGAGGTTTATTTAAAGCTAAAATTTATACTCAAAATATCTTTATCCAATCTGAAACAATTTTTTGTGAACAAAGCAAATCTTTTGTAACATCTAACAACAGCAAAACTCTGGTTAATGAAATAATTAATTACTCAATAATTATAAGTAACTTAAACATATATTACAGTACTGAAGTGCATACTGATAAAAAAATATCTTTCTCTCTTTTTGAAAGTATGCTTGCTTGGTTAAAGCTCTGGCTTCAGAACTGGAGGTCCGTGGTTTGCAGCCAGCTTTGGTTATATGCGCATCATTGGTAAAGAAGGAGGCGTGAACTTCCTGGTTAAATGCTATCCCGTGGTGCTCTATGATAAGACTGTAAGGACTTCTTGGAGCTCCTAAAATAATTAAAGAAAAAAATAAATAACCTTAATGCCAATAAAAAAATGTAACGAAGTGTTTTTATTGTGTCTGAAAGGTTTGTGCACAGTACAGCTTTCAACAACCCCTCCTCCACTGCCTACATACGTACTCTCGGGTTTATTATACACAGTAATGGATGTTCATTAATTTTCGTAAAATGTTTCCACCACCCTGAGCTTATTAAGACCCTCTATTTATTAATTTTTACTTGTAATTGTTAAAAAAAACTAAAAAAAAAACTTTCTATATAAACCGGCCTTAAAATTAAAACATTTATACTCATTGATTAAAATTAAAGTTCCCATCCGCTTATTAAGACCCACCCCTTCCTTCCTCACCGTTTATTAGATCTGAAAGAAAATTCCTACCCACCTACTCATCCGTTTATTCCCACCCCAATCTAATGGACTACCTCTAATGCTGCACAAATACTGCTGTATTTGTGCAGCATAGAATTTTTAATTTTATCTACCTTTAATGTTGCTGTGCAACATTAAAGGTAGATAAAATTAAAAATTCTAGATATATATATATATATATATATATATATATATATATATATATATATATATATATATATATATATATATATATAAATTTTCATTTTTCTTATTAAACAGGATTATCAATTGGTAGATTAGCAAATAAATGAAGATCAACTAATTCCTTTCTGCAGCGAATTTTCAATGAATTTAAGTGCATCAAGCATACTAGCGACAAGCGTAATACTGACCCAAAGAAATTGTTTTCTGTAGAAAACAGTTGTGCATTATTGCTTGTTATAGCATATTTTTACAAATCTTTGCAATGCAACAACCCAAATTAATGCTTTAAAGACTATATTAGTTTTTAATTAAGATGTTGCACTATAAAAGACAAAGCAAGCACGTTGCGAACCAATCCGTACCAATCCTACTATCGTAGTTGAAGACCATCAACCATGATGCGAACTTATATTTGTTAATTGCTATGTAGATATATTTGTGTTTTATAAATAAATTTTGCAATGTATATAAAAAGTTGAGAAAAAAAATATTATTTGTATTTAATTTGTTTACTGTAAAATTATTGGTTAATAACGTTTTTATTGACTTGAATTTATCTTAAGGTATCTAATTTATTTTTAGTATATGTATTGCTAGGTCATGTAGTATAGAAATTTTTAGATAAGCTTCGTTAATAAAAAAAAAGTTAATCAAGAGTTCAAGAAGTGAAAAAATGTTTATCAAAAGGTAAACGTTACAGCAAATCCAAGTTTTTGAGGTACTAAGCAACAGTTAATTATAAGTTCAATTTTTTCATACTGGTTTTGGTCTATATTTTGTATTTACCAGCTTTTTGCAATAATTGGTTAAAAAACAATTGCGAGTGTGCTAAAAGCTGGTCGTAAAATATAAAGCATTTAAATACCACAACTGTATACACCATCAACCATCTTCAGAAACTTCAAGTGCTCAATTCATAAAAAAAATTAGAACCTGTTTGTGTTTAGACATCAACAATGACTTATATTTCTTTTGAGATGATGTCTTTATTTTATATATATATAAAAATTGAAAAAAAAATTGTCGCTAGTTGCAGCAAAATTGTATGCTTGGACTCTCACTAATTAACTCAACCCTCTATGATCCTAACAGGTACTCAATCTCTGAAGCAACATCAACTTCTTATAAATGTTCTGATTCAAGATCGTTTTTGCATAGCTCGCAAAAAAAAATTTCCATGTATTGTATTATTTGTTAATAATTAACAGCTGTTAATAATATTAACAGCAATTGTAATTATTACAATTGCTGTTAATATTTCAGAGAGTTTTTGTTTTCCTGTTTTCTTGTTTTTTCGGATTATTTTTATTATGAATTTTATTACAAAACAAAAAAAAATTTCTTTATAATAGCAGCTACACTGGAAAGCATAATTTTTTTTTTATGGGGGAAAGGGGGAGGATTTCTAGAAATATAAAGCTATTACTCGTTACTTTTCATCTGCTTTCAGGGGCATGCAACTTTTTTTAATTCGAGTTTCTATAGATAGACCCAGTGTGAACTGGAAATTTTTTGATGCTCTAGAAGAAAGTCATTCAGCTATATTCATTTAGTTAATATCGGATCATGTGGCCTCCGTGTAGTTCATGGGGCATTTCAGAAGGGAAACAGAGAAGCTGGTTTGAAAGTTAATTCAGCATTAAGTTCCTTATATAGACTTTTTAAAGATAGTCCTGCTTGCAGAGCAGACTATTTAACAATATGCGAAGGTAAAGCAAAATTTCTTTTAAAATTTTGTACAACTTGGTGGGTGGAGAATGCTGCGGTTGTAGAGAGAGCTCTTAAAATTTTTAATAATGTGAAAACTTATGTCAAAAAGTAAAGTCTTCCAGTGACTATTACTGCACAGGATGTTGTTGAAACTATAATAGATCTTCTAATCAAAGCTAAAATCATTTTTTTTTTTTATCTGTTGCCAATGTAGTAAAGTACTTTAGTTCCTTTCCTATATAATGAGTTATATCATCTGATGTCATGATGCCTTTATAATTGTTTTCGCCAAAGGCTATCATCGGGTCACCTGACAAAGCGAAGGTGAGTTTTGATTCTTTAGCTTCATTTCTACATGAACCTGGGCTTATAAAATCAGTTCTAGCTGATCAAGCTATGAGTCATTATCATTGCCTATGCAATTAGACATCATCAAAAATGGAGAAAATTTTTATTTTACTAAGCAGCGTTTAGATAATTTTTACTATGAACTAATTGGCAAAGATACCCAGTTGTTTGAAATAGCAAAATTTGTAATGATTTTATCTCATGGGAATTCACATGTAGAGCAATGTTCTAGGGCTAACTCAAATGTTTTAGTAGAAAATCTTTCAGCAGAATCTGTAGTTGCCCAGCAACAAAATTATAATCCAATCCTTGATGTTGGTAGGTTATAAAGTGACCGTTTATTGTATGGCCGATACCAACAAGCTCTGTCTGACAAGATAAAAAGTAAAAGAAGAACAGCAAAAGTAACTGTGTGAAAATTGGTGTCATACAATTGATAAAAGAGTTAAAGGCCAAAAAAGCCAGATTAGAAAAGGATGTTAAAAGTAAATTGTTCGCTTTTAATGCTGAAAGAAGCCGTATATGGCGAAGTGGTTAAAGCGCTTGCTTTATAAGCAGGAGATTCAGGTTCGAAACGAACTTTGGACATATTTCGCGTCACGGTAAGGAAGGAAGCGTGAACTTTCTACTTAAATGCACTTCCGCGGTGCTTTGAGACAAGACCGTCAGTACTTCTTGGGACACCTAAAAAAAAATAACAAATAAAAAAGAAGCCGTTTGTCATCCTCCATATATGATAATTAGTCTTGCTGATTCTTATACATAGTAGCATTTGTGTAGACTTGATTTTTTTAGCTTTATTTTCTTACTTCATACTTTATTTTTTGTTTTGTTTTAAAGTGTTTATTTAAAGTAAACAGTTTTCAAGTAAACTTCTATGATTTGTGTTAAGTTGTGTGATTTTATTTGTTGCTTTCCTATTGCTAAATTTAAACTTATATCGGTAAGTCAGGGAATATGAAATCAAAAAATGTCTGGCCACTCTGAAATCTTATCTCATTTATCTTAATATATATATATATATATATATATATATATATATATATATATATATATATATATATATATATATATATATATATATATATATATATATATATATATATATATATATGTATATGTATATAATTAATTTAAGAAAAAACCTAAAACAAATTAACAAACATTTAAGATCAAGATGCAGAACTGCTGATGACTAAATTGTTATACAACTTTGTTTTAGTTTTTTAAGTTTGAATTTTACTGCTCTAAGTAAAATAAAATTCTCATTTACGACTCACTAATCTCTTTATTTTATTATCGTCAAAACAATAGCTGAGTAGCATAAAATCTTAAGATATCAATGAAAATTAATTTATGAATGGAAAAATTGTAAATAAAAAAATTTGATACCAAAAACCTATTAAATTTTTGATTGGTTTTTGCTCTTGGGTTTTCGGGTGGGTTTTTGGTTTGGGTTTTGCGTACTAACACTGATTTCGAGTCAGTTTTACATTCTTAAATTACAATATTCGGATGAAGAGCTAATTATATAAGATATATGAGATAATTTTTTTTTTAATTTAGATTTAATTTAATAATATTATCTTTTTCACGTTGGTTTAAAACATGCATTTCATATAAAATCATGTGTTAAACCAGGAATTTTTTTATTCCTTTTATTTTTTTATTTTTTTTTTTAATTTTCCATTTGTTGGTCGTATTACAACTACTACATATTGCCAAAAAAAAATAATGATAATAATAATAAACTTTCACAAATATAAAATAAGGTACCTGAAAGAAGATCAAAAGGATCTTGTCGCCAGAACCTTAAATAAATTCAAACAAGCATTATCAGTATCAAATTTTTACAAATTTCATATATATATAATCCAAATATATATTATATAATCCAAAGAGAGATCACGCGGATCTACTCACCAATATTTTATAGAAATGTATACGTTAAGTAAAGAATATAAAATCAACAAAATAAATAAGAATAAACTTTTTACAAATGTAAATAAGAAAAGGCAAAGTTATTAATTCATATTATTAATAATAACATAATACGTCATCTAATGAAAAAATTAGGGTTTTTAATTTATTTTTAAAAAATTTCCTTTGCCGTTTAATAAAATTTACAATAAAAAAGATCGTACACTTATAATAAATGGCCAGAGCAAGAAGAAGACTTATATTGTCTTATCGCTGAGCTCCATTTACATTATCTCTTTCAGGTTATGTAACAAGTTAAAATTAAAAGTTAAAAATTTACAGGTTGAAGATTATATAGTAAATCACAATATATTACAATTAGTAAATCTTATAATAAGATATATTTTTTTGTTTAGTTATTTTTTTTATTTTTTATAAGAAGAAAATAAGAAACAAATCAAGACAAAAATAAGTGAGTAATGATGACTTTTTTCAGTTTAATTATTTTTGGTACTTATTTAATAAAAATAGGTACTTGATAAAAAAAATTTTTTAAGATCGAAATAATTTTCAAATAGAAACCTTAGATTCTCCTTTGAATTGTTCTAGTGAGAAATTTTGAAGAGTTTCATTTGTAATAATATTTTTCAAAAAACTTTTCCATATAAATGGTCCACGGTATTGAATTTGAAACGAACTGAGTTTTAAATAAGATCTTGGAACAACAAAAATATTAGTTTAATACTTTGTGGGGTATGAGTAATTTCGGTGAAGTAAGAGTGAAATATATTACGAGATAAACCATATTTTGTCTTAAACATTAGAAGCATAACTTGGTATATGTTAAGTTTATAAACATTAAGTGCATTAAGTTCCATTAAAAGAGATTCGCTATTAACAGTTCTGTAAACACCAAATATAATAGTCTGGACGCTACGTGTAACTTTTTCTTGGAAATGAAGTGGACATTACAAAAACAACTTAAATAGTTTAACATTGGTATTTTGAATGAGAAAAACTTTACGTGCCTTTCTGAAAGTACTTAAAGGGTCACATTTGGGCCCTAATTTGGTACTGATGACGTCATTTTGACATTTTTTCAAAAAAATCATACTAAATAATACATATTTACTTCAAAGGTTAGATAAACTCTTGAGAAAACCCTATAATAAATAACAAAGTCTTGAAAAAAACTTACGTGTCTTTCTGAAAGTGCTTAAAGAGTCAAGTTTTGGGCATTATTTGGTACTGATGACGTCACGCTGGTATACTTTTTATCAAACTAAAAATATATATTTACGTCAAACGTTAGATAATCTCTTGAGAAAACCTTATAATAAATAATAAAACCTTTAGAAAAACTTACGAGCAATTCTAATAGAGCTTAAAGGGTCAAATTCGGGTCCTTGTTTGGTACTGATGACGTCAAGCTAATAAGTTTTTTAAATTTCGTGAAAAAAAAAATTTAGTGAACAGATTTTTAAAAGGGAAAATTCGAATCAGTTGAATAATATTTTGTTTAGGTCTCGTCCCAATCATTTGTGTTTTCAAAAGACGAACAGTTCCGTACAAGTCAATCCATACGATA